ATGATTGCACATGTATTTATTTATATTGACATCTCAACCATAAAAAACAAACATGTGCAACAACTAAACTCTCCATATAACACCTTACACATAACACTACTGCACTGGTAACACATGCATCACAGTCACTAAGCCCGCGCGTAGCGCGGGTTTCAGCTAGTTAGTACAAATCTTATAACATATGATACGAGTAACGTGGCTGCTGTAAAACTTGTAGTAAAAAAGCGTTACAAATTGTAACGGAAATCTATTTATGGCAGTGGTTGATTGAGCCCATGAGCGAGAGCGCCATCTTTTGTGGAGTTTGGCCATGTACTTGCAGCCATTTACATAAACTGCGCAATGGGAGCGAACGCGAGAATTTCGTCAGGCTTTGTGTGATTTCGCGTGACACAGCTCGGTTACAAACACAGACAGTATGTTTTTATAAAAAGTGAACGCTGACCTTCAAATAGAAACAAAGATAAAGTGAAATGGTTGAACGTTTGTTGTATTCGCGTGAAATCAAGCAAGCGTCGAGCGAATTTTGGCAGCATGCTTTCCTACCTGCTATATATTTATGTGTCAGTGTGCAGCAGCTAGCGTGCGGCGGCCAGCGTGTGACAGTGTGTTGCAGATGAGCATTTAATTGGACGGCATTTACAGCAAATTGTCGGCAATAATAGGTGAAAGAGAGTAGAGAAACATTAAGACTTTGGTAGTAAATAGATTTCGTATTTATTTAGCATTATATTTTATTGAAACGCTCCAAGTGCCTGTGCACATGCAGGTTAATAGCAAAATATGCGCTATTACTAATGCAGGTATATATAGTGCAACAGTCACACGTGATAATAATTTTTCGGGATAACAACTACCTGTTTCTAATAGTAATAATACCAGGAGTAAGATAATATAGGATATCATCTTATATTATCCTTATTATATCATCTTATATTATCTTATATCATCCTATATTATCTTACTCCTGATAATACTAGTAGTAATAGTAGTACTAATAGTGATACTAATAGTAGTAATACTAATAGCTGATACTGATAGTAGTAATACGGTGTACATACTGTAGGCCTATACACCATTACCAGTGGCAGTACACGGATATCATTTATAAATTGCGAAGTTTGCACTTTAACCTTAGTATATATATTTCATATATAATCACGTATAACACGTCAACATCCATGAGCAATGATGCAATCGTCAAATGTACTGTTAATTAACGTTACGCAAAAAATTATGTTAATTCATTAGAACACAAACAAAGTTTACGTAACTAGTGAACATACCCTCCTCTGGCTTCATTTTGTCTACTTATGTAGGTATACGTCGTCTTGATCGAAACCTCACCAAGTCTTCTTTATAACCTTGTCTCGAACATTTCTAACCAAACATTTCCACCGAGTAATTCCTATGGTTCCGCAGATGATCATCGTTGCGACTGCTCAACCCGTGACGTCGATCTGCTGACTGGCTGTGTGCTCAACCTGCTGGACTGTGCTGCGGCGGGTCTAGTCAGGAAGCGGTTCGGTTCAAGTTTCGCAACCAGCTAAATCTGTAAGCGTCAACATCATAGTCGGCGCTGCAGCTACATGTTCGCGCGTGGCTGCTGTGCAAACGAGTATTTTTTAAGTGGAATTTTTGCTGTTTAGAGTACATCTACTCATAATTATATATTTATAGCTAGCTGTGTATTATTATAAACAAATATAATTTTGACTGAGGCAATTTTTGTGACGAAAAGTCTGTTTATTTATTTGGTCAACATTATGAACATACACAGCTGTACCAAAACGTTATGCCTAGCCTGAACATGTCAGCAATGGCCATGTTTATTTATACCAGTTACCCGTTGTGCAGTTTATGTAAATGGCTGTCGGAATCAGGAAACACCCACCGGCGCTCTTCGTGACCTCATTTTTGCGCCGCAATGATGCAACACTTTTGCAACGCTCCACTGGCGGCTTTGACGAGGCTCGTACAAAAGTTGGAAAGCAGCGTGGTAGTTTCCCAAAATGCAGTGCGCCGCCTATAGCCCTGTACCAAACTGCATGCAGCGCCCCAAATTCCACGACAGATGGCGCTCTCGCTCAATTCACCACTGCCATAAGTAGATTTCCATTACAATTTGTAACGCTTTAAAGTTTTACAACAGCCAAGTTACTTGTATCCTATCAAGAGCTAATAATATATTAGCTCTTGATCCTATGTAATAAGATTTTGACTAATAAAAGTTGCAGATATTAAAAATCCGACCGTTATTTCATGAAAAATTTGATAAAATAGTACACGGATTGTGCGCCCAGTTACCTCTTTCAAATCATACGCTGTTTACGAATCTCCATTCGCTGGATTTCCCCGGAGCTCCGCCCACTTTAAAAATAGTGCTAGCATTGTGGCAGTGGTATCCTGAGTGCACGAAGAGGCACTGCATGCAGTTTGGCAGCACCCCTTCGTATAACTCAGGATACCACTGCCACAAGGCTGGTACTATTTTTCAAGTGGGTGGAGCTCCGGGGAAATCCAGCAAATGGCAATCCAACGGCCGTGAAGTCTATCAAATTTCTATGATTTGCATGTTTGTTGGTAGACAAATTTAGATGTTTTAAGCCGACTACGCAAAAATGTATCAAAGACAATGTTCGAGAATTAGGTATATTGGCAAGCATCCGAAAAATTCATGATAAATATTAAATAAACACGTGAACTTAGTTTAGTAAACAGCGTAATGATTTGAAAGTAGTAAACGGGCACACAATACGCGCACTATTTCGTATCACTATTTTATCAAATTTTTCATAAAATAATGGTTGGATTTTTAATATCTTTGCAACTTTTATCTTACTATAATTTGGCGAATGTGTCATGTATGTATGTATCTATGTATTGTATTTACATGAAAGGCTCCGTCATTTGGATGCCAAATAGCGCCAAATTACAGAAGAGATCGATGAGTACCATCGGGACGGGTCTAACTAATACTCGGTTGAAACCGTGTTCGGTCTTAAAAAAGACAAAAAAACACACAAATAATGGTAAACATTTGCCTGAAAAATAGGGGCGCTGTTTTGTTCGTTCTGTTTGTATTTCGTTTGTTCAACCAGGTTGAATTTCGTGTTGTTTCG